AAACCACATTATCACAACCCATTAGTATTCAACCCAAACGCAAAAGCCTAAACAGCACTTTAGACTCACAACATGACACACAACATACTGTAATATTTCCAAACTTAACTCAACCAACCACACAAACACAACTTCCTGAACAAACAAACGCAATAAATACAAGTAACGCAACACGCACTACAAAGACGCCCTCACCCACACGACCTAGCACAGCTGAAAAACACAATACTCTTTCTTCTCAGAAACACACCACGTTATCACAAACACAACCCACTCGTACTCAACCCAAACGCAACAACCTTAACAGCACTACAGGCTCACAAAATACTGTAATGTCTCCACCAGTAACCCATGCAACAACAGAAATACAACTTCAAGAACAAAGAAACACCATAAATACAAGTAACGCAACATGCACTACAAAGACAGGTCCATCCAATAAAGTTACACGCCCTAGCACAATTAAAAAACACATAACTCCTTCTTCACCGAAGCACACCACGTTATCACAACCCACTCGTATTCAACCCAAACGCAGAAACCTATACAGCACTACTAGCTCACAAAATACTGTAATATCTCCATCAATAACCCAAGCAACCTCTCAAATACAACCTCAAGAACAAAGAAACACCATAAACACAAGTAACGCAACATGTACTACAAAGACAGGTCCATCCGATAAAGTTACACGCCCTAGCACAGTTAAAAAACACAATACTCCTTCTTCTCAGAAACAACCCACTCGTATACAACCGAAACGCAAAAACCTTAACAGCACCACAGGCTCACAAAATACTGCAATATCTCCACAAAAAACCCAAGCAACCTCACAAATACGACCTCAGGAACAAAGAAACACCATAAATACAATTAAAAAACACAAAACTCCTTCTTCACAGAAGCACACCACGTTATTACAACCCACTCGTATTCAACCCAAACGCAAAGCCAAAGAAACACTTACACAATAAACTCCATTTAATAAAATTACAGGAATTATTATAATGATTTTTTTTGTTTTCCTCTTTCCTGATAGCGTTGGCTATTGTGCCCATCAATAGGTATGTTGGTAAGTACGAATTACATTATCCCTAGATGTCCAATGTACGTGTGATTTTTTTTTTTTTTTTTTTAATGACCCTACATAACTTCACCAGACACAGACACTAATCGTTACTTGATTTTAATCCGTGCGATTAGTTAACCAGGCTAGACCTGAGTTCTCACAAGAAACACCGACCATAATAATAATAATAATAATAACTTCACCAGACACAGACACAGACACTAATCGTTACTTGATTTTAATCCGTGCGATTAGTTAACCAGGCTAGACCTGAGTTCTCACAAGAAACACCGACAATAATAATAATAATAACGGCTTTATTTAGGCGGGGTGTCAGCCAAAGGCTGCTATTAATCCCAACCTTGATACAGAAAAAAGTACAAAAACATGATGGAGTATTTAAAACAATTTATGATAATTAATATGGTATGATAGCCCAGGTGAGAACAAGTAAGCATACAAGTAAAGCAAAAAAGAAAAAATAAATATATAAATAAAAAAAAAATAAAAAATTAAAAAAAAAAATATATATGATTCAGTGATAAAGAAGTACTCTAAGGTGTTTTTTGAAACCGTTGGGACTTAATAATTTAAGAAAGTTCGGAACGTTATTGTAAATGAGTGGTGCAAAATAAGTAAATGCACCATGAAACTGAGTTTTATGGTGCTTTGGTATGTCAAGAAAGAATGGGTTACGGAGATTACGATCGTGAATACTACTTCGAAATTTTAACTTATTATACAAATATAAAGGTTCACCAGATACTAATATTTTGTGAATCAGACATGCAAGATGTAAATGACGTCTTTCGCCCATGTTCAAAATTTTATGTGCTTGATAAATATGGGAAATATGTTCATATTTCTTAATGTTAAACGCATACCTGACGCAAGAGTTTTGGATTTTTTGCAGGCGAGTCTTATTTGCACTAGTTAGACACGGACCATAGACAGTGTCACAATAATCTAAAGTTGACAGTATTAAAGAATCTACAAGCTGCCACTTGACCTTTGGTGGAAGAACGTATTTGAAACGATATATACATTTAAGCTTTGCGTAAGCAATTTGAATCAGTTTATTGACGTGGAGGGAAAAGTTTAAGTGACAATCCACTGCTACTCCTAAACTACGAGATTCCCTAACTAATTGAAGTGGGGAATCTTTTAGATATAATTTTTGGTCCACATCTTCCCACAATGCAGTAACAGATTTTGGTGTTCCCAATAGCATCAGAGAAGATTTAGAAGGATTTATCTTTAGGGAATGTTTCTCAGACCATCTCTCGAACCGATTTAACTGCTCATTAAATTTTCTCAAAGAGTAATTTAGATTGTTTCGATGGACAGGATAGATTAAGTATGTATCGTCCGCGTAACTGTGGATGTAGGAACCGTTTAAAGACGTATCCATATCGAAAACATATAAACAGAAAAGAAGCGGTCCGAGGATAGATCCTTGCGGAACCCCCATATTAACAGGTAAAAAGTTAGAATCACTGTAGCTTCCATCCCTCAAAGTTCTAACCATCTGCATTCGATTTTGTAAGTAGCTTTTAAACCAATTAGTAGCGGTAGAAGAAAGTCCAAGATAATGCAACTTGGCTACCAAAAGTTCATGGTTAATACAGTCAAATGCTTTGTAAAAATCGATTGAGAGCATCACAGATACTTGAGAGCGATCGGTTGCTGCTAGGACTTCGTCCACTATATCAATTAGAGTGGTCGCAGTAGAGTGATGGCTGCGGAAACCAGATTGATGTAACGGTAATTTGTGATTTGCACGTATATAAGCGGACAATTGTACATATATAATCTTCTCAGTTACTTTTGATAACACAGTTAGGATACTAATGGGTCTTAAATGAGACAGGTTTTCAGGAGGATACTTTTTACAGATAGGGTGAACAATTGCAAGTTTCCAGAGGGAGGGGAAAGTGACAATTTTTAAGGACGTGTTAATTATGTCAGTAATAGCTCTACAACAGAAAGGCAGACAAAGTCGAAGCATAGTTAACGAAATTGAATCAACACCCATTGCATTAGATTTCAAACTATAGACAGCGTTATTCACATCCGTATCTGTGACAGTAGAGAAAGAAAAAGTTTGAGTAGTAGAGTTGTGAACGTTGTTTAAGTAAAAGTCAAGAGTGTCCGTATCTTACATTGTTAAATCACAAATAATCAGTTCCAGAATAATGTAATCTACAGTTCACAAAACGGAATACGTAGGTAAACAAAACAATTCAAAGATAACTTTAATGTCCATAAATCACACAAAGATAACGGCTCGCTAAAAACAGACACAAACACTTCCGAAGAATCAACGCTGCAGACTAATAATAGGATCACACATGCACTTGGTAAACAAACGCACTGCGCTTGCGTGTCGATCCTTGAAATTTGAATTTCTTACTTTCACCAAGCTCCTCTGGCGATTGTTTTTAAGATTATTTTGTACTTTTACCAAAGACTCCTGTAAATGTATACAATCACCGGTAATTGTATACAATTACCCCATTATGTACCCTTACCGTAACGTATGCATGTAATAAATGTGTAATTCTAAGTTGTGGCCCTAGTTACAGCGACATCACGACTCCAGACACCCTGAACCCATTACGAAAACAGATGGTCCATATTTTATAGAACAACGTTGTTTACTCTACCAATCTATGATAGAATCCACTAATTCCTTTGCTCATTTAATTATTGTGTAGCAATATTTACCTATTAGTCTAGCAGTTCACATACACATTTGTGTGCAAGTGTGCGTATAGAGACAATTCTTTATGGGTTAGTTACTTGAGTGTACAGGAAAAAAAATGGACAGACATTCCCTAGCCTCACGTACTTACAGAATTACGTCATTCAATTTGGCTACCATTCTGATTGCGTGGGCGTGTTAGCGATAATGTTAAGAGTTATAGATAAAGGTTTGCAACAAAAAATGTTTGGCGTAAATTTTTTGACTCAAACTGCTAGTCCAGAAGAATTACTTCTTCACTATTCTGCTATATTAAAGACAGCAGTTTTGACATGTTTCCCTTATTTCTCTAATTACGTGATTTATTTTCTGGCACCACTGTGTTTTCAAATCGAACCATAAGTGTCTCCGATGTTGCCTTCTCTTCATCGAGGTAGTGGAAAAAAGCACGAAAAAATACCTGCTGATACTATACTGCAAGCATACTTGAACACAGAAATGTTGTGAGCTGCGGGACCATATTGCGTAGATAGGCTTTCAAACAGTGTCTTCCCTGATGTTTGCACCTGTGCTACTACAATATAGCTTGACGAAACCACTAGAAAGTATCGCTCGCTTTTCGTTCAACGTTGAGACCATTGAAGTTGCCAATTGGAATGAAACATCATTCTAGAATATAAAATTTTGGAAGTTGAGTTAAGATACTTTGGAAACCTTCGAATTCTTTCATATTATATCAATATCTTTACATTCATCAGACGGGATTCATGAAATTTTTAGATTCTTCCGACCTATGGAAAGCGTCCGGTGCGTCAGAATCCTCAAGTTATTCGGATTTACCTGATGCATCAGATTTTCAAGTCCTTACAGATTGTTTAGGTTTTCCATTTTACAGTTACTTCACCTCATTCAGATTTTGGATTTGTTCAATTCGTCATAATTTCATATTTTTGCGATGCCAACAGTCCCTTAGGTAGGTTTATCGCGATCATAAAATTGTTGAGTTTCTTCGGCTTCATTCAATTTTATCCAATTACTACGATTGTTCGAATTCCATAAAAACCTATTATTCAAATTCTTTACGTACATGCATCCCTTCAGAGACGTACCAGTACACGTGTCAAATATTATCATTGTTTTCAAAGCAGGGCTACATCACAACAACAATAAAACACTTGATACAGATAGGTAGATAGATAGTTATCAAATCTACCTACTTACACCTAAAGAAAGGTATAAATACCATCGCTTCTTATTTGCCTTTGAAGTGTAACACAAAAAATGCTACGTTTGTTACTCATTGCAGGATGCGTTGCGTGTATATTTGGGAAACCAAATGACTGGGTGGAAGACAATGGTAAGTACATCGTTTATTTTTAAAAATATGACTGGTTTTTATTTAAAATTGTTGCCCAATTTTGAACTGTACCCAAAATCTATTGAGGTTTGACACTAGTAAGCGATTTGTGTATCCCTAATGGTTATAGGGGAAGCAAATGGCAAATTGCCAAATTCCGTTCCAGATTACCAATCGAAATTACCTAGGTACTCTTTATATCTGAGTCATTTAACAATACTGTTAGGAGACCCACTACCAAAAATAAAAATTGTTCGATTTCCGCGCTTTCTTTAGCGTTCCAGCTTCTGCTTAGAATAATTGTTTATTCATTATTAGATTTTCGTTCAATCATCTATCCTTAATATAGTTCATCTTTGTTTCAACTGAATTTTAAGTTAAGAGGCTTGATTGGGTAACTTTTAAATTGTAACCAATAAATTTTTTTTATTTAGTACGTCAACTAAATCGGAAGGAAAACAAGATGTGAAATCGATTCGATCTACTTCTCTTACCTAATCATCGCTCGTTTGCGTCCAAAAAATGGTCGAGTCTAATCTCAGACGCAGATACCTGTTTTTATCCTTATCTTATAATAATGTTGGCGCTGCTCTCAATCTGATATTCGTCATGGATTCGATGTTACATAATGCCCAATTCACAATGCTCTTGTTTGAAAAAGGGCTACAGGAAAGAGTTGACGTCACCTGTGGCCTTAAATTTTAGATGACCGTGGTAAATTTATTTCTGCTATAATTCTCGTTGTTTCACTTTTTTGGCTAGAGGCAAAGGAACGGTGATAAATTCGCCCCCAAAAATTCGCCCCCGAAATATTCGCCCTCGAGTAAATTCGTCCCCGGAGTATTCGCCCCCAACAAGTTCGCCTCCGGAAGATTCTCCCCGGAAAATTCCCCTCGACAAATTCGCCCCCGTAGGATTCGCCCCATAAGAATTATTATATAACCCTCGGACGTAATAGGTTGGTTTGGTAACATATTCCGATCCCGTAGAGGTAATTACACTTTTTTTTAACATTGTCCCTTTCAAAAGTAATTGCGTAGTTCTTCATTTTATTATTGTAACAATAGTCTATTCGTTTATTAGGGTTGTAATATTTAAAAACTTAGAAAATCTTGCAAACATTAATTTTTTTTAGTAAATCTATACCTCCCTAATTAAAAAATAATACAAAACATAGGTACCAGCAAAAACTCATTTTATGAACTGCAAGCTGTCACTGTTACTTCGAGGGTTAATACATCTTCTGGTGCGAATCTTTCAGGACCGAATTTGTCGGGGGTAAATTTACTTGGGGCGAATATTCCGGGAGCGAATTTTCGGCGGCGAATCACCCTGCAATCACAGGGACACACTGTTGATAATGAGTTTTTGATTTTCATTGCGCCATAAAACCTGATTGCTTTGAAACTGTTGATCAGCATCCCAATTACAGATTACGACCGAGACCGAGCACACGCATACATCGCGAGATCATCATCATCATCAAACGTAAACCCGGACGAAGCAACAGCATCCTTCTGGAATTCACAGGCTGACAAAACGATAGCGGACCGTTTAAAAAACACTATAAATACAAGTAAGGGTAGCCCTACTTGAACGACCCACCATCATTTACCTTCCTTCCAGATGTCGCAAAAAATGTAATACTCTTCCTCGGTGACGGAATGTCAATTACCACACTTGCAGCTTCGAGAATGCATATGGGACAACGAAACAACGAGAACGGGGAGCAATCGCAGCTTTCTTTCGAGAAGTTCCCGTACACTGGTCTGTCGAAGACGTACTGTGTTGATCGACAAGTCGCCGACTCTGCATGCTCCGCCACGGCGTACCTCTGCGGAGTAAAAGCAAACGAAGGAACGTCTGGTGTAACCGCTAAGGTGTTGAGAAAAGATTGCAAAGCAATGATGGATAAGGCGAACCACGTTTATTCTGTCGCGCATTATTCTCAGTTAAAGGGAAAACGAACGGGGCTTGTTACGACAACTAGAGTAACGCACGCGTCTCCATCAGGTTAGTTCATTCTTTACATTGTAAGCGATAACTTTTGGCCCGCAGCCGTCTACGCGCACACCGCCTATAGAGAATGGGAGGGAGATAGTGATATTGCGAGGGATAATGAAGACACCAACGCGTGCGACGATATAGCGGAACAGTTAGTTAACGGGGACACTGGGAAGAATCTCAATGTTATTTTCGGAGGAGGAAGAGAAAAGTTTACGCCAAACACCGAAGTTGATCCGACAAACAACAAGGGGTCCCGATTAGATGGAAAGAATTTGATTAACGAGTGGAAGCAAAAGAGAGGGAGTGCCAAACACCAGTACGTTCACGATCGTGCTGGATTACAAGGTATTGCAAACGACACCGAGTATGCCTTAGGACTGTTCAGTACCGGCCACATGGACTACAATCTACTCAGAAATAAAGAAGTGCAACCCTCCCTAGAGGAAATGACAGTGAAGGCCATCAGGCTACTGTCACAAGGCGACAAAGGCTTTTTCCTGTTCGTAGAAGGTGGCCTTATTGACTTTGGTCATCATGCCAATCAGGCACGTATAGCTTTAGATGAAACCATCGAGTTCCAGAAGGCCATTCAGGCAGCCGTAGACATAACGAATGAGCAAGACACGTTAATTGTGGTCACCTCGGACCACGCACATACAATGACACTGAATGGTTATCCCGAAAGGGGCAACGACGTTTTGGGTTTCGGTGGTAAAGGTACAGACGGAATTGATTACACGACATTGAGCTACGCTAACGGACCGTCGGCTTCAGTAAAGAGCGAAAGATCCGACCCCTCCAAAGCCGATCTTAGTAATGATACTAACACTCACGACTACTAGTTTTGTTTACATGTCTAATTTTAGGTAAACCAGAGACAAGATTCCCAAGCCTTGTTCCTATTAAGTACGAAACGCACGGCGGTGAGGATGTTGGTATATTTGCACGTGGCCCGTGGGCTCATCTTTTGACTGGCGTAACGGAACAGAACGTTATTCCTCACGTACTCAAATATGCATCGTGTGTGGGTACCGTCGACGGAAAGTGCGCTGGCCAATAATCATTTTAGTAATTACGTAACACAAAGAAATTATGCAGATACTTTTAATTATTAAAATTATTATTTAAATTATTTGTTAGACAAATAAATTTTCTTAGTTTTTTGTTGACTTGGTTGAAATCAGTGTCTATTTAGGACTCCTTACAAAGAGGTATTTGATCCACCATAAATGGTTGAGAAAGGGTGTGGTAAGGAATTCAACTAACCACCTGTCATTTGCAATTCATTTATTTATTGTCCCTCTTGATCTTGGCTGTTCAAATGATTTTGGGCTAACTTGGTGAATTCCGTGAAGAATTAGTTGAACATATGCCATATATAGCATGGACGGAGTTAATAGAAGGAAATGGAAGAAATTTAGGGTTTCCATTACCAACGGAAACTAAAATTGACACTTCATGGGGTTTTTTGTCATTATTCAATTTATTTTTGCCTTTAAAGTTATGAAGATAAGCAAAAAATTAAATTTACACCTTTCCGTCACGGAGTTAAACCAAACAAAGGAGACGGTAAGAACAGCTAGCCGCAAAATGACTCGCAGTTTGGTGAGGTGACGCAGCGTGAGTCACGGTGAGATTTTGAGGGGGTTTAACTGCTAACGCGGGAACCGCGCAAATACGATCGCAGTTTGCTTCTTGCAATAACGGTTGATTGCAGGCCCACAATGGAAATAGCTACGGCACTTACGTTTGACAGTTCTGAATCTGATTCGGAAGATGAGTTCGTATCCGAATTGGTATTGTTTATCTCCCAAATGACCAAAAGAAAGGCAGCAAGAGGTCTGTACTTATAAAGAAGAAAACGTCACGGAGAATTTGCTATGACCAAAGAATTTAACGACGAACAATTTAAAAATTATTTTCGGCTAAACCGGGACCAGTTTATCGAAGTGCATGAGATCATCAAAAAAGAAATTGACGCAGAAGGATGTACCGCTACAAGGCCCATCGGGACGGAAGAGAAACTAAGTGTATTTCTAAGGTAACTTTATTTTATTAATTTTTTTTATCAAATTATTTATCTGGAAAAGAAGTGATCACATTAATCAGCTCGTCTCGACTGCTACTTGTGGAGTAATCGTTTTTCTCCGGATAGATTTCAGGGGTGCTTAAGAGTGACTGTTCCGAATGGAAACTAGTTGATGATGCTCTGCTGCTGGATGGAGTGGCTGCAGGAGGAGAATGTAAATTCTGGTAGTAGAGCTGCTGCTGATCAGGGCTGGGCTGCTGGTAGACAGCAGAACCAATACCCATTAACATTGCCTCCGCTTGTGAAACTTCGTTGAACAAACGATTTTTAACCATGTGTTGATATGAGGGTGGCATTTTTTTAGTAGATTGGTACATCGCCAAAAAAAAGTGAAATAGTGGATCATTTTGTGTAAGATTTAATTGCTGTACCAAATTTTTTCTCCCTTCCGTTCTTGCTTTAGCTCTTTCCTCACGTTTCTCAATACTTTCTTTAAAAAGTGTAGTAACATTATCTTTCTTCATTTTTTTAATTGAATTGGGGGTTGCAATTAACGTCCGCTTTGTAGATAACATTGAAGGAGCAGTTTGTGAAAGTGTCTGAGGTTGGGATTCATCCTCCATATTTTCGGGTTGGTCCTGTATGTTCATTTGTTGTGAATTTTCATTATATACCTCTGCAACATCTACATTGGATTCAAAATCTTGTGATAGGTTTTCAGTTTCATCGTCTTGTCGGAGGTTTCCTTCTCTTGATTTATTGACCATATAAGGCTGCAGAAATCCCATCTGTTTTTGAAATTTCCATTCTTTGATAGTTTCTGCAGCTGCTCCACTTTTGAAACATTTTTGTTGCCTTCGAATCGCATCTCTCAATGAATGTCGTAGTTTTTCCCACAACGCCTTTGCTTCAGATCCTACAACAATGAATTAATTACATCTTTATAAACTCTGGGAAAAGTTTAAAAATGAACAAACTTTTTAATTTTTTTAACACATTATTACTTTTCAGATACTTGGCAACAGGAAACAGCTACAGAAGTATGGCGTACAGCTACAGAATGGGTGATCGAACAGTTTCTAACATTGTGCGAGAGGTATCTGAAGCAATTTGGAAGCTGATGCAACCAATATATTTGCCACAACCAACTGAAGAACAGTGGAAGTCAGTTGCAGATTCCTTTCAGAGAAAATGGCAATTCCCACATTGCATTGGAGCCATTGACGGTAAACATGTGGTCATTAAAAAGCCCGGTAAAAGTGGATCCTCTTATATTAATTATAAACATACTTTTTCTATTGTGCTAATGGCTGTCGTCGACTCCGATTATAAATTCATCACCATTGATGTAGGGTCACAAGGAAGATTTAGTGACGGAAATGTTTTCAGTACAGGCGTTTTGGCAAAGAAATTGCTGGATCATACTCTACATCTTCCGGCACCTACTGTACTGCCTCCACTTCTGAACCCAATGCCATATGTGTTTGTAGGAGATGAGGCCTTCCTATTATCTGAGAATTTAATGCGACCTTATCCCAAACGAAGTGTCACTGATAATTTTGAAAACAAGGTCTTTATTTACCGACTATCGCGAGCACGCCAAACGGTTGAATGCGCTTTTGGTATACTTGCCTCGCGTTTTCGAGTTTTCCGAACACTTTTTGAAATTAAAGTAGAAAGCGTGATTAATGTTGTTAAGACAGCATGTGTATTGCAAAATTATTTAAGGAAATATTCAGTACGTCAAAGTGAAGAGGAAGACAACGAATATACGTATGCCGCAAGATCAGCTGCTCTCCTTGAAATCGAGCAATGCTCGAAGTACACAGAAAGCTTTTCAGATTCGAGAAAATTATACAAATTATTTCAACTCCGCAGGAGTGGTACCTTGGCAGAGGGAAAGTGTTGCTAGAGGGAAATATTGAGATATGTACACTTTATAATAAATAAACTTACCACTTTTCATTCCGATTTCTTTAGCGATTTCCTCCCACTTTTCAGTTTTTAGTTTTGTCCTCATATAGTCTGCATGACTGGTATCGTACAAAACTTGCCGAATCCGCACGGCTTCAATTAATTTTTCTTCCATTTTTCACCACTACTCACCGTAAATAACTACAAGAAACTGCGGGATCGACACTGCGTTCCGCAGGATCACGTTAGGCAAAGACTGCGTCACGTCACACTGCTGACCTGTATTCGCGGTGGAATTTATTTATTAGGTTCACAAAATCTCACCGTGACTCACGCTGCGTCACCTCACCAAACTGCGAGTCATTTTGCGGCTAGCCTAATCAATAGGGTTGAGGGTTATGGGAGTTTTGATAGATTTTGAAGAAGAAAAGCGTGATATTAAAACAGATTTCATCATCATTAGTTTTCTGCTAATGCAGATCCCTGGTGGCTCTTCTCTATGGCCCTATTCTCTGCTTTTTTCTTTACTCCTTCATATCCTTCTTCTGCCTCCCTCAGGTGGTCAACCAATTTCCATCTTAACTGTCATCCCCCTCTTACCATTAAATACTTGTCTTGTCTGGTCCTAATTTCTCTTTCTTTTTTCCAAACTTGTGTTATCTCTGTACCTAAATACTTATGCCTTTCCACTTGCTCTATCCTCACGCCGTCTGCCATTATTGTTATATTCTCTCTTACTGTTTTCATTTCATCTATATTTTCTAACCATATCTCAAGTTCTTTTTCACTCTCAGCAAATGATCATCCGCAAATCGTCCCTACTATGTTCATAACATATTTTCCCATTTTCCAATATATTTCTGCCACATCTTCTACATATAAATTAAGTAGAGTTGGTGATAAACGGCATCCCTGTTTCCTCCTCCAATATCAAACCAGCCCATTTTTTACAGCCAACCCTGAGTTTTGCTTTTTGTTTCATATATAAGCTTCGTATTAGTCGTCTGTCTCACCACATAATCTGCACGAGGGCTCCTCCAAAGGTCCATTGTTATGCATGTGATAGTTGACCATCCAGTACCCCGTAAGGACACCGGTTCTCTTCCTAATCTGGCTTCTATTCAGTTTTAAAAGTTTAGAGGACCTAGACAGAGCCCTTTTAAAAAGGTCACGGACTGTCTGAGTCCGGTTGCTTGTTTCGACTGAGCCTGGAATTTACTGGTCGCAAGGCCCTGACAACGTAGGGAGCAATTCCTTCGATAGGCTCGGGCTCGACGAAGACCCCACCACTACCTTCACGAACAGCTCGTCTGACCCTTCGTTCGCCCCTATGCCGCAGTACGCTGACGTCGAGATTAACCCTATTAGACTCACCTAAACTATCTAGAGTCAATAAAGCACCGTATCTGCCCCATGTACAACCAACATTCCTTCTGTATGCCCATAGACATGCAGTGGCCTTTTTGCTTATTCGCTCTATTTTCCCTTTCCAGGTCAGGCGGGAGTATGTTAACTTCACTGACCTGACCAAACCAAGTTGACGTCGTCGAAGGGTGAGCCCAACAAAGTCCGCTCTCTTTCTATTCGTAAATGGAACAGCCTATTAATTCATTTTAAGAAGGTAGCGGTAAAAAACATAGGGAAAATTTGACCTTCAGTGTGATTGGTTAAAACACAAGTCAGTATTACGCTGAAACATAAAACGAGTGGCGAATTTTGCAAGCTGGTAGTTTAAACTATTGAAGTGTCATTCACTGTTAATGTCAAAGATTGATTTGTGTTTGCAGTGCTAGATATTTCTACTTTACAATAATTTGGTGCCGTTTTACCTATGTATACCTTCTTATAATGAATGAAGTATAGGTCTTTCCTCAGTGCCACAGAGTCCAGTCCAGTCGCTACCAGTCTGTGTTTTAGCCCCGACGAGTCACTTTTTTTTGCTACAATACATCGCAGCAAAAAAATAGAGCGATGGGGTGCGAGAGAGAAAGAGGTGCTCACTTTTGCCGGCACTCGTCTAGTATCACTTTGTTGTTGATTACATATTATAGCATTAGATAGGAATCTGTATTATGCTCATACTGGGTGTGGTTCTGGGAAACTACATTGTTGAATTATATTTTTGGTAACGATTCGATTTAGGTAAATATATCTTATCTTGGGTCATGGTAGACACTGTTGTGTAAACTACATCTTGTAGACGTTATTTTGGCTTGAACACCTTCA